GAAATATCAACAACCTCAGATATGCAGATGACACAACCTTGATGGCAGAAAACGAGGAGGAATTAAAGAACCTTTTAATGAGGGTGAAAGAGGAGAGCACAAAATATGGTTTGAAGCTCAACATCAAAAAAATGAAGATCATGGCCACTGGTCCCATCACCCCTGGCAAATAGAAGGGGAAGAAATGGAGGCAGTGAGATGGAGGCATTTTACTTTCTTGGGCTCCATGATTACTGCAGATGGTGACAGCAGTCACAAAATTAAAAGACGCCTGCTTCTTGGGAGAAAAGCAATGACAAACCTAGACAGCATCTTAAAAAGCAGAGACATCACCTTGCCAACAAAGGTCCATATAGTTAAAGCTATGGTTTTCCCAGTAGTGATGTATGGAAGTGAGAGCTGGACCATAAAGAAGGCTGATCGCCGAAGAATTGATGCTTTTGAATTATGGTGCTGGAGGAGACTCTTGAGAGTCCCATGGACTGCAAGAAGATCAAACCGATCCATTCTGAAGGAAATCAGCCCTGAGTGCTCACTAGAAGGACATATCCTGAAGCTGAGGCTCCAATACTTTGGCCACCTCATGAGAAGAGAAGACTCCCTAGAAAAGACCCTGATGTTGGGAAAGACTGAGGGCACAAGGAGAAGGGGACAACAGAGGATGAGATGGTGCGACAGTGTTCTTGAAGCTACGAACATGAGTTTGACCAAGCTGTGGGAGGCAGTGGAAGACAGGAGTACCTGGCATGCTCTGGTCCATGGGGTCATGAAGAGTTGGACACAACTAAATGACTAAACAACAACAATTCTAGGCTGCATTAACTGAAGTATAGTGTCCAGATCAAGGGAACTAATAGTTCTACTTTATTCTGCCTTGGTCAAACCACACCTGGAATACTTTGTCCAGTTTTGGGTGCCACAATTTAAGAAGGATGTTGACAAGCTGGAACGTGTGCAGAGGAGGGCAACCAAGATTATCAAGGGTCTCGAATCCATGCCTTACAAGGAACACTTGAAGGAGCTAGGTATGTTTAGCCTGAAAAAGAGAAGACTGAGAGGGAGATATATTAGCCATCTTCAAATATCTTAAGGGCTGTCACATGGAAGAGGCAACAAGCTTGTTGTCTCCTGCTCTGGAGGGTAGGACTTGACGCAATGGCTTCAAGTTACAAGAAAGGAGATTCCGACTAAACATACAGAAAAAACTTTCTGACAGTGGAAAGTTCTCCCTGGGGAGGTTGTGGACTCTCCTTCCTTGGGGGTTTTAAAGCAGAGGTTGGATGGCCATCTGTCATGGATGCCTTAGCTAAGATTTTTGCATTGCACAGGGTTGGACAAGATGGCCTTCAGGGTCCCTTTCTACTCTACAATTCTATGATGAATCTTTTCCCACCCATCTTTTTCTGTGTTTTAAAGATAATACTATTCTTGCTATTAATACATTTGTGCTGCTTGTTCTTAAAAACCACCAAGCTGGTCTACAGTAAAATAATAACAATGAATATATGAAATCTTCACAAAATAGTAGAAACAGCAATTAAAATAAACCATAACATTCAGCAGACAGAAAAAAAACCAATCAAATGCTGGGATGCCTGAACATATAAAAGGTTCTTTGCCTGGCACGGAAACAACTTAAAAGTCTGTGCCAGGTGGGCTTCCTTGCGATGGGCATTCCACAGATGAGGCACAATTGAAAAGCCCTCTTCTCAGTCACCACCAGCCTAACTTCAGGTGGAGAGAAAGAGAAAGAGAGCGAGTGCATGCAAAGCATCAGAGAATGACTGATAAGTTTGGATAGGCTTCTGTAGTAAATGGCGTTTCTTCAAGTACATGGGTTCCAAGCCTGTTAGAGCTTTGTAGGTAATCCACAGCACTTAGACTTGAGCCCAGAAAGAGACCGGTGGCCAACAGGCAGCCAGCAAAGTCTCTCAGCCCCACTCACCTCACAGAGTGTTTGTTGTGGGGGAGGAAGGGAAAGGAGAATGTTAGCCGCTTTGAGACTCCTTAAAGGGAGTGAAAGGCGGGATATCAAATCCAAACTCTTCTTCTTCTTCTTCTTCTTCTTCTTCTTCTTCTTCTTCTTCTTCTTCTTCTACTAAGTTACAGCACTGGTACCTTGCCCCCCTTTCATAGGCCCATTTGCAGACTGCAAAATTGTGGAGAGGTGGCATTTTTATTATTCATTTTGGGTAGCAAGGAAATGGGTTTTTTAAAGTAATTTTCAGGATGTGGCATTTACTGGGGAAAACTTCTTTCTTTCACAATGCAGATTTGCTTCTACAATTGCCCTTAAAGACTTGCAAAAGGAGATCATGTGCTCCAAGCACGTGACTCATATAACAACTCACAATATTAGTGACTTGCCAAATGCATTTTGTACTAATTGAACTTTCCAATAATTCAAAGGCCCTTGTGCTTGGTAGTTAAGGACCCACTTAAATCCTTGCGCGCGCACACACACACACACATCCATTACAAGGAAACACAGCTACAAGTGTAGAAGGTCACAGGTATATCAGCTGTACATACCGGTACTTGAAATTTAATTATTCAGCCGTTCTTATTAAGAATATAAAAGTAAAAGTAAAAGTGCACCAGCATTTCTGTGGCTTCACAACCATAAAGTAACAAAAAACATATTAAGAGGACAATCCTCATTATAACTGCGATATTTTGAAATAAACTATGCTAAGCTCAGTCTAAAACCTACTGAACCTTGTAGCAAGACTCCAGTTTGACCCTATTGATTTTGGATTAGGTGCCAAGTACACTTCAATCTACTTGGTTTTATGATGGAGATGCTGCAGTAATAGTTACAGCTAGTAAATGCTGAACAGCCATGGCAGAGTAGTTAAACTTAGACCACTATTAAAGTACTTTTACATGTGACATTCACAGCAGACCTGTCATCTTTTATCTGCGTGCAATTGCAGAACTGGTGTCAGTTCTAAAGTAATGATATTGAGGGCTTCATAAATTACCCTGGTGATGCTCAGGAGAAGACAGTGTCACATCTAAATAAGTGTTTTGCTTCCAGGGTAATGTATGTCTTCATCTGGCCCAGCAGTCAGCATATTGCCCTATGTTGATGGATATTGTCAGCTTGAAGCTCTACTACATTTCACTGCACAATAAACATGGCTGTCAACACCCTATAAAGTGAAATCAATTTATCCTGTATGGTCAGTGCATTTTAAATGAAATTAATGTACTGTGGGCATAGTGGCAAAAAGGTAGCGTATTAGTTATGCACCCTCTGTCTTAAGAATTTATCCATAAAAATGAATTGCCTACGCAAAACAACAAAAATAATTATTGTACACCTTAATGTACAGGGGCTTTTTTTACACCAATTTAGCAGAGTTAGGATTCTACATAATTTAAAATATAGATTCAGATCTTGAGCTGATGTAAATCATCTGTCCACTGTGAAGTAAACAGAGCTTTACTGATTTATAGCAGTTTAGATTTCATCAAGCTTTGTCATTTCATAGGCATTGAGGATTTGTCATATATGTATTTGAATTGGAGGGGAGAGATCTGAAATACCGTTGTATGTGAGGGATATGCTTTGTTGTTTTGACACACATCAAATTTAAAAATTATTCATGCCATTTTTTTAGTGGGCAAATGTAGCCATCTTTCAAAACATTTCAAGAATGATTCCAAATATTTCAATTGAGGATCACAAAGCCACCAGCTCAGAGCTTGGATGCCTTAGCTCCAGTTATTACATGTATCTATCATGTAAACCTGCATGAATTCTTTGGCTACATGTGATAGGTACTTGATGAAAAGCATACTAGGCTCCATCCGTAGAAGACCTTGATGTCCACTATAGTGGAAAACAATTGAGTTCATGTTGTATCATAAGCTTGATCAGACAGCTTGAAGCACAAGTACTGGTGTTAATTCTTTGAACTTGGAACACCTCAAAGACATTTATTCAGTGAAGGATACCTGAATTAAGAATTGCATCCGGCTTGACAAAATAGGCTTCGGTGCACTATAGATTTAGTTATTCAAATATCCTGGGTGACTTTAAAACCATTTGGGCAAAGACTAATTTAGATGAACTACACATGGAAAAATAAGATAGGAGAGCTTTGGTCAGCTGGTCATTTTTATTATGGGCATATTAAAACATGGCTTTGCCCTGCTTCCCATACATTTAACAGTTTGTTATTTTCTTTCCTGGTAAGAAGTATATCTGAGGCAGGAGTGAGGCATCTTTTTCAGACCAAGAATCAGTGCTTTTTTCCCTAGAAGAAAAGCATTGCCAAGAGCTACATTCTCTTCTGGGCAACTTTTCCAGGGCGACATACCACTAGTGGGCAGGACCAGTGCTTTTTATCTAAAAAAAATAATGTTTAGTGGTACTCTCATTTTCCTACTCATATTGAAATACTGCCCCTCAATGAGGCCAAACCTAGATTCATAAAATGTTTAGGGGCATACATACCCCCGAAAGAAAAGCACCGGGCAGGGTGAGAGGTAAAAGTGGATAGACCAATGAAGACACATTTATCATTGTACCATAGACCAGTTCTTAACACATTCACATGCTTCATTTTATTGTCCATCTAGACAAGCAAGAGGCATTATCAAAATCCAATTACACATTCCATCCGGGCAAAACACTGGAGTACAAAGTATGGCCAGTGATCTGGGGAAAGTTCTAAGAACTAGGCAGAGAGGCCTGGCAGGCCACATTTGGTCCAAGGACCTCAGGGTTCCCCACATTTGATCTAGGGCATAGAAATTAAAGGCTCAAAATTTAATATGTCTTTGAAGTTTCTCACTGGGTCCTACAAGAATGAATAATGAATAGCATGAATGAACTCAAATAAATGAATTCGTAAGTGCTTTGTGTCATAGATCTGAAAGCAGAAAGCGAGAACTTGAAATGGACAGGGCATCATAGGTGGCAGCCCCACCATCCAGACAATGTAATAATATTTGCATCCATCTTGTTTCTTCCTGCTCTGATATTACAGGAAGTAAAGCAATGAATGGCTCTGCAGCTAAACTACAGCAGTATTATTGTTGGCCAACAGGAGGTGCCACTGTGGCTGAAGCTCGAGTCTACAGGGACGCCCGGGGCCGAAGTAGCAGTGAGCCACATATCAAACGACCAATGAACGCTTTCATGGTTTGGGCAAAAGATGAACGCAGAAAAATCCTTCAGGCTTTTCCTGACATGCACAACTCCAATATTAGCAAAATCCTTGGTAAGTACAAAACCATTAATAATAGCACAATCAAAACTGGTAATTGCTTTGCAATTTTATATGCAGATTATGAATGGTGAGAGGGAATAATTTCTTAGAATTGTTGATTGAATCAAGTTACTGAACTCCAGAACACTGCAAATGTGGGAGGGAACACTAGCAGTTAGATATGGAACAGCAAACAACTCCTATATGCCCTTTGCTGTTAGAATGGTTTGCCTTTCCATAGGAGAGTTGCTATGTTCATTGTCCTCTGATTAATTAAAAACTACACTGATTAATTTAAAACTAAGGCTGCAAGTCTATGCACACTTGCAGGAAGTAAGTCCCATTGAACTCAATGGAGCTTAGTTCTGAGCAGATATATATATATAGGATTGCACAGAGAGGTACTCAAGCTTAAGACTACTACAGAAATTTATGAAGATGAGATTTATTTAAATAAAAAACATTGGATTTCTATACGAGTTAAAGAACTCAGTTTATACATGGACTATGCCAGTATTATATTGCAAGCCTTTATTAGAATTCATGGTGTATTAGGAAATTCTGCAAGACAAAGTTGGTAACTTTGTTATGTAGGGAAAATGTCTAACCTCATGCAAATATAAGTCTTCATGGCAGGGAGTACAATGTTCAAACTGTGTAGTCAATATGTTTAATAGAAATTAAATGTTCATTGGGTTCTCATTGAACTAATTGTAAAAAAATAAATAAACAAAAGTGTATTGAAAAGGAAAGCTTAACATCAAGTTTATTTTAATTAATTCTCTAGAAGAGTAAAATTTAGCCAGCGCTCAGGCTTTGTCTCCCAATAATAAAACTTGATTTTTCAAAGAATTGGAGGCCCCAAAAGAGGAATTAAAAACATACATGAGAATGAGGAAAAAAATTAAACTGATATTTGTCTATAAATGTAACTCAGACAGAGAAAAGTAACGACCAGGTCTCACCTGCAATACTTTGTGCATTATCTTGCAACGTAACAAAGCTATTTCTCTTACTTGCTTTTCCCCCCTTTCAGAGGTAAAAAAAACATATCTAGAAATAAATATAACTCTGTTCTTAAACTTTCAGTGTTTTACATAGCAGCTCTCATATTTGTCTACTATTTTAGTAAGTTATATGAATAGCCTCTCAGTTTTGTATAAAACCTGCACTGTTTCAGTCTTGGCAACTCTATGGAATCTATATTATTTGTGTGTATTCTTTGACACCCACCCCCCCCCCCAATTACAAGTATAGTAACAGTATTCATTAAAATGTAAACATTCAGTATAAATATTTCAGAAGTGCCAGCAATCGTATGTTTTTTAAAGAGGGGTAAAACCTGCCAGGACTTCCCCTGCTACTACCACACACACACACACACACACACACACAGAGCGAGAGAGAGAGAGAGAGAGAGAGAGAGAGAGAGAGAGAGAGAGTGTCAATTTACATATATCTCCGCACATTTTCCAGGACAATGACAAAAAAGAAGCCTGAAATATTAGAACTGACAACAGAGTATTGCTGACTCTGGATAATATTTATACAACTTTTCCATTTGTTGATGTATAAAAGCTCGTGGTAAAAGAATAGCTTCCACCCACGTTTACCACAGCTGTAATCATTTTAACCATCTGAAAGCTCCTTTTTAATCCCCCCCAACACAAACCACCCTTCTTTCTTCACTGTTTAGGTAGCTCTCTATAAACAATACAACAGACCTGAATACTTTGCTTCTTTCTATGTAAACTGTTATATATATTGTTGTCTTTTATTAATGCAGTTTGTGCTGAATGTTTATATTAATTAAAGTAGTGAAGAGCATTGCGAATGTACTTTCCAATTTCTTTCAAATACAGCTAAGTGTATGTATTGCATCTGGCTGGATAATTATAATGTTTAATAGGATTTGCAAGGGTCAAGGAGCTGATAATAAACTAAAGTTATAGTAAAGGGCATCAAAATTAAGGACACTAAGATGGTTAGAGGGTCATTTCTAGTTTTGTGAATAAGCTAGTTTTGCTAAATTTCAGGGCATGGTTTCATTATAATGAATTTACAAGCCAAATTCTTGCTGGGGAATTATGCATGAGCAAGGTAAAAAAAAAATTAAGATCAGTAGAAAGGTTATGACGAAACACAATTCTAGTAATATAACTGAGATTCAAGGATCCACTTTCAGGGTGCCCAAGAGCTTGAGTGTGTCCAGTGGGATTTTTGCCAGTTTTTTCTTTTTAAGCCACAGACTTATCATATCTCAAACTGCTGTTGTTTCAAAATCAGTTTGCCATATAGTGTTTGAGAAAGGCACAGAATCCATTGGGATTATGCTAGTAATTCAGTTTTTTTAAAAAAAATCAGGTAGTGTTTCTTAATGAAATAACTACCAATGTATACATGAATCAATGATTTTTGTTCAAATAATAGGTGAAGAACTCGCTATAGTTTCAAATACACAATCCTGGATTGTTTGAAAGAGTGAACAAAAATAAATAAATACAAAAAACAGTGAAACCTTAATGTGAATGGGGCCAGTTCTCCAACAGTACACTCACAAACGTTTTTCAAGCAAAATCTCTTTATAGACTATTAGTGAAATGTCTGAAGACTAAGAATACTGCAGAACTAAGCATACCACTCACTCTAAAAGTAGATTTCAAATTGTGAGTCGAGGACCCACCGCCCACTTAGAAATAAGTAAGAACAAGGACACAAGTATTTTAGGTTAATGGGCTAAAGAAGGCCACAAGTTTATTGGTTACAGCATGTGAGTGGTATTGGCTAAAGCATTGAATCAAACAATCTATACATGACTCCACCCCGCACAGCGAGGAGTCATTCGAGAGTTGACAGCCAGTGGGAGGAGCTTGTTGATGCAAATACAACTGAAAGCTTCCCCTGATGTCACCGGGGGTCGTGTCATGGCCCTATCCACCAGCAGGGCATCTGACAGGATCCACGACCGCCGGATTCCTTTAACGGAATACCCAACAAGGGGAGGGGTACATGATGGCCACAACCTGCCCTCCAACACACCACACTTATTCCAATGCCTAACAGCCAATACCTGAAAAGTTGTTATGTTTTGCTACGAGGTAGGCGAAAAACCAAGAGGCTGGTGCCAATTTGCCAAATGGATAAAAATTCCTACCAGGCCCCCTGGGCAACCAACCAAAGTCCACAGCAAGGTCAAAAGCATAGATATGACCTAAAGGGAGGGTGGGCGGGTGATCCGATGAATTCAGGAAGCGGCCGTTCAAATGTGACTAAACCCCGCCCCCAAGCCAGTCCAATTAACCTAATAACTGACGCAGGGGGCCAAATACGGGAACCGGCTCCCGCTCACAACTCCTCGCCTCTAGTAGGAGGAGAGGCTTTCTTAATGTCAACTCAAATGGCTTGCTAGTTGCATTGAAAGGTGAACTGTGGCAGAAAGGAGCGTTAAGTGGAATTATCCAACAAATAAACTTAGAGCTCACTAATATCTTTTTCTGTGCAGGCTCCCGCTGGAAATCTATGTCAAACCAAGAGAAACAACCTTACTATGAAGAGCAAGCACGGCTAAGTAAAATCCACCTAGAGAAGTATCCTAATTACAAATATAAACCCAGACCAAAACGCACCTGCATTGTCGACGGCAAGAAACTGCGTATTGGAGAATATAAACAACTGATGAGATCTCGAAGGCAGGAGATGAGACAATTTTTTACTGTAGGGTAGGTGGAAGGTTTACGTGTCAAATCCAGCAGTTGCTATATCGTTTTACTTCCTGTGAGATTGGGACTCTTGTTTAAGATTCACTTATTAATCATAGCCCATGACCCAAATATTTAAACTCTTTTTAGTCTATTGTGGTTCCCTGTCTTTGACAGCCATCTGGTAACCTACCCACAAGACTCCTACAAATCCATTAGCTGGGAACTATTGGCTTTTTCTTTGCTTTTAAACAGGTATCAACCCTTCCCCCCGACCTTCTCCCTAAAGCTGATAAAGCAAAATAGTGTGAAAATGTCCTTGGAAAAAGTGTAGAATAAACCCCTTCCCTTTAAATTTATTCCATCACCCACTTTTACAAGTAGTTTGCTGCTGCTGAAGCTGGGACTTACTGCAGCAAAGTTAAATCTTCCCTTCACAAAGAAGGATGTCCATTATTAACATTTCCTGGAATCCAGACTCAGTACACGCACATCATTTTCTCTTTTGCCTGTGGAGTGAGAGCAGAAGCAGTAGCGGCCATAAAGGTAAAGGTAAAGGTACCCCTGCCCGTACGGGCCAGTCTTGCCAGACTCTAGGGTTGTGCGCTCATCTCACTCTATAGGCCGGGAGCCAGCGCTGCCCGCAGACACTTCCGGGTCACGTGTCCAGCGTGACAAGCTGCATCTGGCGAGCCAGCACAGCACACGGAACGCCGTTTACCTTCCCGCTGGTAAGCGGTCCCTATTTATCTACTTGCACCCGGGGGTGCTTTCGAACTGCTAGGTTGGCAGGCGCTGGGACCGAACGACGGGAACGCACCCCGCCGCGGGGATTCGAACCGCCGACCATGCGATCGGCAAGTCCTAGGCGCTGAGGTTTTACCCACAGCGCCACCCGCGTCCCTACTAGTAGCGGCCATATGAGTAGTCAATTACTGAACAGAAGCACCAACATGACACTGGAAATTCATTTAATAGTTGTAATACACCATTAAAATGAGTAAAGAATATACAATTATCCCCCACCCCAACTTTTCCACATTGCAGCCTTTTCTCCCATAGCCCCATGCAAATCTAGGATGCCCACTGTTTGCATATGGAGTGAAAAAGGGCTGCAATCTGCTTAAGCTTTGTGGGAGAGGGGGATGCACTTGATACAGAGTGTTGAGTCTCTGGGTATGCAGCTGGGGGCAAGTATGACATACTCCTCATGTATTTTTCAGTTTGTAGCACCATGTTTTTGACTCTGCTGTATTCAGCACTGTCTTTGAATTTCTCGGGCTGCAGGGTGGGCGGATCTAACATCTAAGTCCCAGGAATAAAACCATATATATGCATTCAATAGATGCATTCAATGAATCTCTTATGTGCCATCTTCGACTTTTAAGCAGCATGCAGTGCTGTGATATATCTTCAGTCTCAGGCCAGACATTCACTAGAACAATTGTCACTCAATAGGTTTATCTCTGCCAGTGTCTTATAAACACACAAACAAAATTGCTGGATGCTTGGTGCCACACACGGGGGTTTCTGGCAATTTAAGAAAGCAGCTTCTCTTGCCAGCCCTTCTAAATTCACAATGTTCTGTTCAGTCCTCTAATCATAATACTATTCTTTTCTTGTGGGCTTCGCAACCAGATAATTGACCTTGACTGCTTGGTTCTGTGCCTTGTTTCTGGCTTGGCATGCAAGACACACGTTGCAGTCAATTATTTTGTGGTATAGCCTGCAGCAGTGCGGGTTTCTGCCCAAATCAGTTTTTGATATCCATAAATATGATGAGGGTTAGATATCTTGAAATATGATGAGGCAATAGGCCTATGTACCTTATCCTGAAACATAGTTGGCTGACTTTAGGCAGCCAAGAAACTATTTGGGAATTGAGTTTCAGATATTCAACCCATCAGCCACACACCCTCTTTTACTTAAGGGCATTGCTACCGTAGCCAGATTATTCAGTGAAAGAGTAAAGTTTATTGAGGGTGAAGAAGGGAATAAGAATGGTTCTGACTAGTACAGGACAAGGGCAGCAGTGTGTGCACATGGAAATGTATATGTGTGCATGTGTGATGATCTGGTATAAGGAGGTGAGGCTAAAGGTAAACGGATCTGATAGGAAATGATGTGGGAGAGGCAAGGAAGTTGAGTGAGAGCTGGATAAGTGAACATCCAGATTTATGAATCACCATTCTGCACAACTTTTCGCATCATATACCAGTGTTTGAAAAGCATGTCCAAGGGGCAGAGAGCATGTTCCTGCTCTCTTAATCAGCCACCACCCAACTATGGCATTTGACCTGGAACTTCTAGACCCGATGAATCAAATTCATTGTGATTTGCCCTGGCCCAGTCCAGGAAAGGCATGCTTTCTAGCTGGTGCTTCATGAGTGGAGATGGGCTGAGCAGCTCAGACATAGCCTGGGAGTTGTGCCCAACAATGTCATTGCATAAATGGGAAAGTTTTCAATTCTGCAAGAGAACTTCCCCTCTCTCTCCCAAATCTACTTTGGGGGTTCTCCTCCAAAACAGACTCAGGGGTGCGTGTTCAGGAAGCACACAGGGTGATGGGAGGAAGGAGAGAGTTTTTACAAAGTCATTATCGCGCACAAGGACTTTGCTGGATTCAGTAGACTTTCCTCCCAGAGGTGCCCACCCTAAAGCTCATTCACATTGGTGGGTGGGGCAGGTAGAGCCCTGCTCCCTGTGTGAGGGGCTCTTGAGATTTTTCATTTTGTATTTTTTAAGATACTGGGGAAAACTGTATTATTTGTATCTTAAAAGCCTTCCCAATATTAATGCTCACAAAAAATGCACACGTGTTCTAAATGCTTTTGAACTACTATTTTGAATTAGGCAATAAAACCACACCACTGTGTCAGAAATATATGCAGTAAGCACTTTTATGAGATCTGATGTTAATGTTATTCTATTTGGCTTCTATGTTTCAAAGATGTAGCATGTAAGAGATTTTCTCAAATGCAGCTGAATTAAGACTCAGTAATTGTGTGCTGTTCCCTAATCCAAATTACTATTTCCAAATTAAACATTTAAGTGGTTTTGTTAAAAAAAAAAAAGACAGCTATGAATATCACCCCCCCACCCCATGGATCACTTATATGGTGCTTAGACAAACCTGAAATACTGTGTAGGCAATTTCCCCCCTGTACTGTACTGTACTGTACTGTACTAGGAAACTATCCTGCACGTATTCAAGTGTGTTATATGCCAGCAATGCCCTTCTCCTGTTTGCACAGGATAAGTGGTTCATTTCTTGCAAGAGAATAAATAGATATAAATCCAATATTGAAAACAGCAGCATTCACAAACCACCAAGAGAACATTTCTGTCTCTCAGCACTCTACTGCTAACTAATGCCAGTTACCATACCTCAACGAAAAGGCTCCTGTGTGAAACTATAGAACTAGAATTTATTCACAAACTCAGTTTGATTGTGACTTGGCTTATCTTTCCCTTTTTGAAATTATTTATCACTAGATGAGGGTGTATTAATTATGTCTCTCCACTGTAATATTGGCTGTTTCAATTGTCTTGTTTTAATGATAGTTGCTTTTATACATTTTGTAAGTTTTTAACATATTGTCAGGCATGTAGAAAGGCTTGACTTTATTGCTTTGGGAAGCAGTATAGAAATAATCATCAGTTTTTATTCAGTGCTTTGAAGGTTTCCATTTGGAGAGGAAATTTATTATAAATAACTTCTAATCAATAAAATATATACTTAATTATTATCCAGCTTTTTGTTTATTGTTAATTATAATGTGCAAGGAAGCATGTCCTCAATGAAATCAGTATGATTCAGTGTTTTAGGGTTGGGACACAAGAGTCAGAAGCATGGAAGACACTACCAAAATCACTTCCCACAAGATGTAATGCCGGCCACCAACTTGGGGGACTTTAAAAGATTAGACAAATTCAAGGAGCATATTGGGTATTAGTGGTTATATTTAACTCCACTGCAAAGGCATTATGCATCTGGCTATCAGTTGCTGGGAAGCACAAGTGGGGAGAGTGTTGTTGCGCTCAGGTCCTGCTTAAAGACTTGGTGTAGGCATCTAGTTGGACCACTGTGAGAACAGCATGCAGGATTAGATGGGCCTTTAGCCTGAACCAGCAGTCTGAAAGGTGACTGCTGCACATTCTGTCAAAATGACAGACACTCACTTCTTATACAAACTCAAGGAAATCTTTACCATGTTTGTCTTTTCCTGCAGGCAACAGCCTCAGATTCCAATCACCACAGGGACGGGTGTGGTCTATCCTGGTGCTATTACTATGGCAACTACTACACCATCGCCTCAGATGACATCTGATTGCTCCAGCACCTCGGCTAGCCCTGAGCCCAGCATCCCTGTCATTCAGAGCACTTACAGCATGAAGACGGACAGCGGGAGCCTTGCTGGAAACGAAATGATTAATGGGGAAGACGAGATGGAAATGTATGAAGACTTTGAGGATGACCCCAAATCAGACTATAGCAGTGAAAATGAAGCCCATGAGGCTGTCACTGCCAACTGAGGATGTCTGCTGAATTAAAGTACTCTGACTTTTTTTTTTTGAACAAAAAGTTCTTAAATGAGCCTGCATGCATGTGTGGCTCCTACAGTTACATCTGCAGAATGGTCTTAAATGTTTCTTAATGTGTGACACAGATTGTTCCCTAATTTTCATGAACTTTTTTTAAAATTTAGGTGAAGACATTAAGTATCAGACATTGGGACTTGAAAACTTATACAAATCAATAGCTGTCTTACAAGTCTTTCCTTTTTTGTCTATTTTTTTTCCTCCTCCTGGATGCTGAGAAAAAGGTTTTAAGTTACTGTTTTAAATGGGGGTTTTACATTCTCACTCAGGTATGCTGTGCCAGCCTACAGGTTGTGAATGTGTTTTTATTCTGAATTATTTTAGAAAACAAAAACGAAACAAAAAAAAGTGCAAATTTCCTATCATGAAACAGAACAAGTCCTCATGTGCATCAGTGTGTCTTTGCTCATCTTTTTTAAACAAGGTCTCTAAATTCCATTTTTTTTCTCCACATGTATAGCTGACCTTCTGATGTGCCAAACTTTCATAACTTTTTAATCTTAACATTTAAAAAAGTCTTAAGGGAGACACTGTAAAGTCTTAGACAATCCTTTGGCATCTTAAAATATCTATATATCTTTTTAAAAAAGCCTAATTTTTCCAGAAAATGGTAAAGTACTCAGGAATCTGGAGACAGGATATTCTTAAAATAGTGAACATGATTTCCACAATGCACTTGCCCAATTGCTTCTGCCTCTTGATGTACCATCAGTATAAAATATTACGTAAGCACAAAAGAGCGATCACCAGCTACAGACAGGCCTGTCTTAAGAATGTACGGCCAACTCCAAATCCTTTCACTGCCCCTTTGCTTTTAACCCTTACATTCAGTCTTAACTACATTTTATCTTAACAATGTATTCATTCCAGAATGTCAGGGGTCCACATACTGAAAAAAAGAAGAAATTTTAAAGTACTGTTGCGTTTGCATTATTTTCAGTTTGTTGTTGACTTCTTTATAAAATGCCCCTTTCCCCCTAAAAACCTGTGGTTTTCTTAAAATAGCAGGAAACTTAATACTGAAAGGTAACCATATGCTTAAATGGGAGATCATGTTTATATGTGTCGAAAACATTTGGGAAAACACTATGATACAAAGGGATGCAGATGCTTTCAGTATTTGCGTAGTATGCATGTGCTATGTGTCTGTTTTATACTTTTAGGCCAGGAGCCAAAGAAGCACCCAGTTAGTTCCATAAAGCATCAGGGCTTGTGTTTTCTGAACCAAAATTCACCACCTCTTCATATGAACCAAATTTGAAACTGAGGGAAGTTGTTTCAGAATCAATTTGTGATGTGACATTGTTATCATGGTGGTTCAAAGGGGAGAAAGTAACAAAAATCCAACTGGGTCTGCATAAGCCCTGAAGCTCCCCTACATCAGTTCTAAATTATCCCTTTCAGGTTCTCTTTACTTTGCATAGTATACAACATCTCACCTAGTCTTTCTCATGAGTTTCTGAATTAAAAGCTGTCATAGTTTAGAATACTGTACTACATATTGCCATATCAATAGCCGACCTAAAGGATCCATTTACTATACCCATCTATGATTTTTATACAGGAAAAGCCACACAAATCTTACTATCTCATATAAACTGTGTCAAATGCTAGTTTCACAAAACTAAAAAGAGTTCCAAGCTCATCCTATTATTTTGTCATTCACTGACATGGTTTTACTATACATGTGTAGATTTGATATTGTTGCACAAATACATGCCTAACATGCAGAAAACTATTTAGAGGGCTCCAAGTCTTGCCTGACAAACAAGACAAAAAAATAGCTATTTCCCAAGCATAGTATCAATATCAGATCAATATTTGCGAAGTTCTCTCAAGCCTTCAGGTCAAAGATGCTGTAGAAATTATAATTATTTATTTCATTTCTGATATATAATTTTGTTAAATATATAAAGAAGCAAGGGGAGGTGGGAACAAAACATTCCCAAGTTAATAATCTAGGTCTTAATGGAAGTCAGTTTGCCCCCAGATTTTGAATTTGATCAATTTTATGCCCCATGGTCAAGGCCAGAGTCTACTGTTTCAGCTACTTATTCTCCTCATCAGTACTTTCTACTGAAAACTACACCATCTCATAAATATGTATGTTTAGAATCAGGCCACTAATATTGAATCAGGCTCTTTCTGAAAATTTTGTTTACTTCATTATATCTTTAAAATACTCCAGAAATATGGCAATTTTATAGGGGCAAAATATTTGTGTCCTAAGAATAAAGCCAACCATACTTATAGTTCATGATGTGGAAGCCACGCTTCCATTACATCTGTGTGGTGACCGCTCCAGGAACTGAACTAGTTGTGTGCAATTTTCTCTATGCCAGCAAAAACTCAACATGAATGGTCTGTGGTGTTGGACACACAGATATCATTTACTAATCCAGATGGAGCACTACCATGCAAATGCAATTTAAGCAGCCTATTCCATGCTGCCTATTAATTCTGTGAAGCAGGGTTGTGTTGAGAGTTCCACTTTGTGTAAAGATGCCATCTCTTACTAGCTTTGCTCAGGGGAAAGAGTGCCAGGATTTCTAAAAACATTTCTGCACCTTCTTTGATAGCCAAACCTGCATGTAATAAATGTGTGGGCATGAACCTATTCTTCTGAAAACCCAACCCAAACTACAACCTTGCTTATGGAGCAGGGGGTTGGACTGAATGACCCTCAGGATCCCTTCCAACTCTATGACTAGGGCAGATGGGGTTCTTTCCCTTTCCATAGCCAGCAATGTCTAGCATCTAGCTTACATACAATTAGATTTTTCATTATATTATGATCATTATATATATTTTTCACTTCCTTGACTTCAAAGGCTTTTCATTAATAGAACCAACATAATGGCCATGGCTTACAATGCGTGAGCAAGTCATTTGTACTTTGCTCCCCCCTGCTAGCACTGAGAGGAAACAAACCATAATCTCTGGCTCGAAACAGAAGCCTTTTTTTGGCATTAAGCAGTATATAAATTTAATCATCAATGTTCCTTTGCTTGTGCGGCTGAATTACAGATTTTGTTTTGTTGTGCTTGGAACAAACCAAGAAGTGAAGCCAGTTTGTTGTTGGCTTTCCTATCATGGTTTTTTGTTGTTGTTTTTTTGAGCTTGGATGTTATTCTAAGGCAGAGATAGTCAGTTTTTCCCATGCAGCACTAGACAGGAGGAAGCCCAGCATGGTTCATTTGTGTACAGTAAACCATGGTTTGTGGCTTACCATGACATACAAACATAACCAATATCAGTGCAGTGTTGGCATACTATCATACAACCTTGCACGGCTAGTAAAGAAAACTAATGCCCTGACAGCTTTCAGAAGCAACTGCTGGAGGTAGTCAGCTTTTGCAATATTAAAATAGACAATTTAACCCAGACAAGCAAATAGGGACTGCTATGTTTACAAGATCAAACACTATTCTGACATATAATACTCTCATCAAGCTTTGGCAGCCATTTTTAAATCCAAAATAAACTTATCTTTCTTTACTATTTATTTGAAAAGTGTTCCCATGTCTACAGCTGAAGCAATAAAACTGTTCTAGCCGAGATGTTAAAAGCACTTGCTGTGTCATTAGCTGGTGAGCGTCCTCTTTACCTAATTAAGGTACTAAAAGAAAATCATTTCTTATTAAAATTGTTTGGAAATTTGAAGTGTTCTAATACATGTAGTTTGGAGCGGAGGTACTCATTTCCCCTAAAGAATGACTATTTATTAATTTTCTACAGGTTTCTCCTGTTATAAATCTCTCTCCACCCTACAATTCATTTCTTTTCTCTGCATTTCTTCATGGTTTTTTTGTTGCATAGGTAGAATGCTGTATTGCTAACATTGTATTTTCTGTAATTATTTTTGCACAAAGGCAAACATTTAGTTTAGTGGGTTAATTTCTTTTTATAAATTTTATTACCATGCCAAAATAATATTCTGCAGGCTGGCGGAGAACAAAGGACTGTTCTTTAGGACTGAAACTTGATTTTGCTCATAGTACAAAAACACACACTCACAGATGTTATTTCATAAGTGTTATAAGCACTGGATATAAATGGTATTTTTTATCACTTCTAACTAATGTGAAACTGTTGTACAAAAACGACATGAACAAAAGTCATCTGTTTCGACTCGTGTGGGCCTGCCTCACAGTTGCCGGATTTGAGTCATTTTTATGTCTTTGTTATTTCATTTATTTATGCAAAATTCTTATATGTATGAATACTTTGTTTTAGCTCCAGCCCTGCATCTGCGTTGATGCTCCAAAACTTAAAGGTGCATTCTTGACAATGAATGGCTCTTCATGAATCAGCAGAGGGTAGAAAGCTACTTTGTTGGTCAGTTTGGGTAAAAAAAAAATGTATTTGACTCTGAATAGTGCAGAAACAGTGTATTATATTTATTAGCCAAAATCTGCTCTAAAGTGTCAGTAGGAAATCAAGGAAGGACAATCATATGGAAACAAACATTTATCCCCATTCTTAATTGGAGCTCAAAACAAAGTTTTTGATTAGTCACCATCTCATCTTCGTTTTTTCTTAAAGTGTAAATATAACATAGGAAATAGAATTTTATTTTTTGTTCATGGATACCTAGTGAAGTATAAGTTATGTATTTACTTTGTTCTGTATCAGTGTACATTGGTCCATATTAAATGCTGACAAATCACTGTACCTCATGTAGATGCTGAATTTACACCTGCAGTGCGAGAGCAGTGTTGTGGACCTGTAGCAAGGATGGCAAGTCGCCTCACTTGTGCCCTCCTTCAAATTGGAATCCTGTATTTCATAAACACTTAACCTTTCAAACTATTTCACCTGCTTATAGAACAGGGGTGAGGAACCCCTGTGGTCCCTCAAAATTTTGCCAGACTACAACTCCCATGAGCCCCAGCCCTGATGGGAGTTGGATTGCAGTCTCCAGAGGGTCAGAGGTTGCCCACCCTTGCTATGGAATAACAATCCTCATTGTCTTCACTCTCTGGTAGTAGCATCATAGTTATTGGGACTAATAAAAGAGATACAGCCTAATAGTCTGCTCTTCAGGATTGCTGCATCAGCAAATTAGTACATAGGATGTGGAATGTCTATTCCTCTTGGGCAGCACTACAGCCTATTACTTCAGCCAAGTGAAAGGATGTAAATGACATTTACATTCCCATTTAAATAAATGGGGCAAGTTGGTTATAACTGACACGTCCCACTGAATTTATTAAATGAAACATAACTTTCTCTTGATTGGAGCCATGATGTGACACTGTTGTTGCAGGCTGAAGCAACAGCTAATTCTCTGACACTTTTGCCAATGCAGTTCTATAAAATTCCTCAGAAGTAAACGAAATAGTATAATTCATCACTGAATGGCTTATCTCCTCAAAATATACCACCCAGATATATTTCATTCCCTCCTCCCACGTAATTAGTTACTGTAAAAAGCAACTGGCTTAAGAACTGGTTTACTTAAGTGCCAGATTTCTAGTTTAGTTTGGGCTCAATTTGCTTCATAATTTGCAGCTTGATTCCAAGTGAATCTGATGGAAGTTCTTAGATTTTGTCTGAAAGCAACCAATGTGAATAGTAAAAAAATGTGTCAATGTGAATGACAAACTAAGTATATAAATACACACATGAACAAATGATGCTCTGGAAGGCCTTTGTAAGCGATGCCAGTTAACACTAAACCGCTTCGGATCTGTGTTTGGTGTGGAATAATTTCGGCATGTTTGAAAAAGTAAATAGTTAAATTGACTTGATATTTAACCAATACAAACTAAACTCTTAATAAAACACAATGCCACAGGGTTTATGTTTATAGAGAGGAAAATAGCTCTGATCAAAGGGCCCATTTCTAAGAAAATAAGTTGTAGCCTTAAACATCTATCCTTATGCTGTGGACAGCAGCTCTCTAGGGGAACAGGCAGTCTTCTGCCTTTCCTGCTAACTGACACTTTTTAACTGGAGATGCTAGGGTTTGAACCTGGGACCTTATACATGCAATACATGTGCTTTGTCACTGAGCTGAACCCCCTCCCCCTCCCACGTAAATGTATGAGGGTACCCAGATATGCAGTTTGGGGGAAGCTGTGGGATTGCCAACTGATCCAGAATCAGTGTGCAAGAGGCAGCGTAAAGAGGGGGATGCTATTACAACAGGGGAACAACTCGAGGTGGGTGCATGTTATGTACAGCAGTAACTTGAAAACAGTGATTGTTTAAACGACTGTGTAAATGAAACAATGATTGTGTAAATGCAAGCATCCCCTAATACAAAGTTAAAGCATGATATCCTACTGTACCTAATGTTGCTCTTTGTCTTATTAAAACCTGACATTTTTTTCTACTTCACTGAAAATAACTTCCCAGTAAGAAAACGCTACAACGCTCCAATTCAGGAAAGCACTTAATGCTGGAATCTTCAAGCCACACATTCTGGAGTAGTCCCAATGGAAGCCCATGGTGCTACTTTAGAGAAGGTGGTATGAAGATCTTAGCCTCAGGCACCAGTTTAGCTTAAAGCAACCGAGCCATTCTACCGAAGTCCAAAAGAGTTAGGTATATGTTTAAAGCTGAGCAGAATTATATGTGTCTATCTGGACTGGATCTTCAGTACCAACAACTGCTCTAGAATTCAGCTGGTAAAATGTAATAATAGAGTATTTCATATTTTCAATTTTAAAAAAATAGTCTCAGATCCTAGACGTTTGCATGTGTGTTTAAAGACTGAAGTTGGCACTTAAGCATGTCCTGTTTAAAGACTAACATGTGACCTCATTTGATTTTCTTTTACAAAAGGCACTTACTCTTTTTCTCAAACTCTTACTTTCCGCCTCCTCCCCCCACTGCCCCCCCATTTCCTTTTATTATCAACCATTCTTCTCTGCAGTTCTTGGACAACATGTTTGATATACTGTAATTCCACAGTTCCATGTTAGAATGCAAAACGCAAAACAAAAAATATTTACCTAAGTGGGTTGGTATCTTTTTTCTTTATATCCAGATTTATGCTATTAGACTACATACCTTCCCTCTAAATAACTAGTCCAAGATTTAAGTTTTAAGAGCTGACAAAATGATATTCTGAGATAGTTCACTCATTGTTTTCAAAGAGGAGGGTGGGTCTGGGGCATATGTGTGAAAGGAAAACGTTTCCAATTGGTATTTATGGCAATATGAAAGTTATAAAGCAGCTTAGTGACACAGTTTGCTTTATAACTTCTGCTTTCTTCAAAAACCACAAGTGAGGTCCTTGGTGCTCTCAAAAAAGTTTGGGGAATGTGCAAATATTTAACTGTTTCTATGCTGCACATTGCAGACCTGCTCGTGTGCATTCTCCGTATTGTCTTCCTTTGTCATTTGTGTTTTGCTTTCTCAAAAGCACAGGGTTGTTTTTCCTGCCCCCGCCTCCCTTGTACCCTTCATCAGCCTGTAGCAAATTTCCGAATGTTTTAGTATTTCTGTTCCTTCATTATTGTATTTGCCATGTACAAATGTTTTTATTACATTAAGACAAGCTTATAAGCTGTTACTACATAACTTATCTTACTGTAACTCTTTTCTTTCCTGACATTGTAATTTGTTTGTGATGTATATTGTGAGATTGTATTCTATGTTAATTTAATCAGCACAATTCACTGACATGCTGGACTGACATGCTAGCTGCTGTTTCAAAGTGTAAAGTTTTTGTGTAGAGTTGTTGGGGGACAACTGAGACTCCCTTTGTCAAGGTACTATGCTTTGGTTCCTATAGCAACACTGTGGGTGTGGCTCTTATGATGCTAGGGCTGCTGATTCTACACCCACAAGCATTTTTTTTTTTACTGGCAAGTTTTCCGTGTAGAAATTCTATATACAGTGCAGGTACCTATCTGGGCCCAGGGCTGGTAATTATTTGGGCATGTAGAGAAAAAACAAACAAACCCTAGTGTCTATTGCTGCTTTGAATATGTTTTAAAAGTCTGAAAATGTAAATAGTTTATCAAAATAAATCTTGTACAGTCCAGTGTAAAGTTTTTAAATGAACTTAAAAGGTTGCCATTACATCTCTCTCACACTCTCCTCTTGAAGCAGTTTAAAAAGAAAAGAAAAAAGTTTGCTAAGGATGTTGATTTTTTTAAAGTATCTGTGCTCTTAATTTAAGCGGGGGGAACGAATCATTCTTAGCTTTGCTTCATAGCATAAACTGATTTCTTGGATTTTGTTGTGCAGTATTGACGTGAGGTAAATTAAATATTAAATAATTTTTCAGTGGTACTTTTAAGAGTCTTCTCCTCTCCTCAGAAATTAATGGAAAAGACAAAACTGAAAAAAGACTGTCTTTATATCGTATATTCTGGTGTATGTTGGCACCTTACCATATTTGAGGGGATTTTTTTCCTTTTTCCTTCCTTCCTTTTTTTTTTTTTTGCACAAGGTGCTTTCCTGATATGTTAGACATGTCATCATTGGGTGATACCATATGCCATGATAAGGGGTTCTGACCCCTCAGGGGAGTGTCTATAAGACTGCCTATTTATGCTCATTTACCTCAAGACTGTCCTCTCTACCCTTAATCTATTCACCATCACTCCATCTTTTGTACTGCTGTTGACACTTACAGATTAAAGATAAATTTTGTTTTATGATATGTGTGTGGCTTTTTCTGTGCAGCCTATTCTGTTCTTTCTATACGTAACAGTCCGCTTCAGATCCCAAGGAGCTGCTCGTGAGAAAAGGCCCTGCAGATCAAGTGACCAATTCCTTCTGAGCAGGCTCACCTCCCTCCGTGCTCATTGTCAGTCTACTTATTGCTTTCTCATGTCACATCAGCAGTTTGGTTTTTGAACTTTGGCTCGATAAGCTCAAGTCGTTGTGTGTGATGTGTAGGCAGGAAAGGCTTGTAAAGTAACCCTATATGAGATGGGTATTTCAAAATTACCAAGTAGGAATGGAACATTTACCCCCTTCATTTTCATTTCTCTTATAGCCTCACTAGACAAACTAACTGAACCAGAAAATATGAGCACAGTAACACCATATTGCCTTTGGCCCAAACAGTATAACCCCTATATAACCCCATGCAAGCCAGAGAAGCAGCGGGGCTTCCTCAGCTGGGGGGCAGGATGCCTTCTGAGGTGTTGGAGTTATTCAGCTGGGAGGTGGCAGCGACAGAAGGCCTTTTCCACCCCCCAGCTGAATAACTCCAACACCTCAGAAGGCATCCTGCCCCCCAGCTGAGGAAGCCCCGCTGCTTCTCTGGCTTGCATGCAAGCCAGAGAAGCATCAGAGGCAGGGAGTGGGAGTACTTTAATGGAGCCCTCACCTCACCACTGGCTCTCACGAGCCAGCAGCAGATTGGGGACTCTCTTAACTGCTCGATTGAGGGGAGTGGCAATCACACACCCCTCAGCAGAGCAGTTTCACAGAGCCCCCACCCCACCACTGGCTTGTGCGCTCCTCAGCCAAGCAGTTTAAAGAAGCGGAGCAAGGAACAAGCTGTATCAGCGCCTCACCGATGCAGCTTTTTTATCCCTCTGCCAGTAAGAGGGCAGAGTGAGATGGTGGCTTCACTCAGCAGTATATCGCTGGTGAAACCACTGCCGCTCCCGAGTCCCTCTGCCGCCAGAGCCAGCTGGAGGGTGTCAAGTGCGGTGGTGGTTTCACTGCTGAGTAAAGCCGCCATTGTGGTCTGCCCCTCATACTGGTCCAGGGCGATGTATCAATCCATCACCCAGGCCTATTTACAGTGGTACCTCGGGTTACAGATGCTTCAGGTTACAGACTCCACTAACCCAGAAATAGTACTACTCAGGTTAAGAACTTTGCTTCAAGATGAGAACAGAAATTGAGCAGCGGTGGCGCAGCAGCAGTGGGAGGCCCCATTAGCTAAAGTGGTACCTAAGGTTAAGAACAGTTTCAGGTTAAGAAAGGACCTCCAGAACGAATTAAGTTCTTAACCCGAGGTACCACTGTAGTGCAAAAGGGTTTTCTGTGGGAAGCCATGTTGCTACATTTTGGGGTGGGAGAAAACAGATGTGCGTTAGAATCCTAATTAAGTCAAAAGCTGGTTGTTCCTATTGGGTAAGCAGCAAGAATAAAACATTCAGTCCAAATAAGTACTGTATTTAACTAATTAATCTCTTTAAGCCAGAGATGAAACTTGGACACAGGAGGACTAAATAATTAAAAAATACTACTACTACTATTACCACTATTACCAACATTACAAAATTCTAGCTGTTTTCTACTCAGTCTTCACCAATACTTTTATCAAGCCCTGACCAAGCCTTTACTTATGTCGTGAAGTTGCAAGATCCCTCAGTCAGCAGAACCATATGCTGCAAAGTTTTGCTAAGATGTACCATCTCAGATTACAAGTAAGGAATAGCATGTCTGAATACTTTCTCAGATAAAAAGTCTTCTGCATATAGAGCACTTGGAAGTTAGGGACACAATTGCTTTTTAAAAAATCAGCTGTAGTGGAGCAATGGAGAGACAAGTTTTTCCTAATGTCTGGGCATTGGCAATTTGTTGTAATATCACAAATTTTATGGTCCCCCTGCCCGTATATCTAAATCTTTTGCTTATTAGGGGCCACCCCACATTTTCTTCAAAAAATTGCTTTGCACAGGTAACTACCATAGAGTTATCAAAATTTTCAAAAGTAGGGGGTCCATGACTTGCTTTTTGAAAAATAGAGGGTCCTCAGTAATTAGCTAATTACTAATTGGTGCTACTTCTGAAAAGGTTCTGCCTCCAAGTGGATGTTCACTTGAGCCTAATTCAGCAATGGTATCTACATTCTACATATACATATACAGGAGCAGGCAATCCTTAAGGTGTCCCAAGTCATTTTAAGTTCCTTTGTTTAATGTTCCACTGTCACTACTATGGTTCATTTACACATATATTCATAACATTAACACTCTCTCCCATGGCTGCGGCCTTGGATCCAAACAGAAACCTGCCATGGCTCTCTGATCCTCTGTTCAGCTTGCTGTGCTTTATGGAGTACAACTGTTTTTCCTCCAGTCTACATCATCTCCAACTGCAGCACTAAACTCAATGCTGCTCTGCCTCTGCTAACTAACTCAGAGCTCAGGGCAGATTTCCACCTATTTGCTGGATGGCACACACTCTTTGCCTTGCTGATGGCTTACCTCCCTCTCTTATTCTGTTAATGGCCCATCTCTCAGGCGATCTCCTGAACACAGGAAGCTAACTCTCCAAGCGTTGATTAAATTCTGACACTTTCTAAATCCAGGAATTTAAGGAAATCGGGCACCCAGAACTCACAACAATATATAATACCTCGGAGATGACTGACAATATAAAACATAATTGCTGTCAGGAAATTTTTATAGTCAGTTGTATTAAGAACTGCTTAAGTACATTTTTATTCACTTGGACAAGACAGAGTGTAAAAGCCTCTAGAATGGTGTTTAAGCTTGGCTTGCAAAACCCAAGATGAGTGTGAAAGAAGCCTTGGTAAGGCACATCTGGAGAATGCCTTTCCTTTGGCACTAGAGATGGGTTGATTTGCTCATGTCCATTTTAAGGCTGGAGTGAATGTCACATGACACAGAACACTCAGAAATCTCATCCATCTCTGAATCATGCAACTAATCAAAGGCGCTGGTCTATATAAGACAGTGCCATTATCCTTCTGGCCTCTTCAGAAGTTTGTGCATTGGGTCAATTTCCCAACCCCCTACACGTTGCCAGCAAACTTGAGGGGATTTGGGTAGAAAACTGTCCTTGAGCATTTCAAACTTTACTCAACAAGTTGCTGCCCAGTGTAGGTGGTGTGGACCCCACAAATGCCCCCTTATTTGGCAATGCAGATTATACTAGGCATGGATCAATGGGTGCACTGATTGAGAGCAAGGCATCAGGATAGAATGGCTTTCAAGGAGGCAGAGGAAACCACCCCTTACAGCTGGATGCCCTTGGTTTTAATCTTAAATTGTGCACTGCTTGTTGCAGAAACCTGAATAACAGCGATCCTAATCCCAATTTGTATATATCGTGTCTTCATGAGGAGAGGGAGGGGGGTGGCCATTTTAACTTTAGAGAAAAGAACATGTGGAGCCATGGTATTTCTGATCCTGCTGCTTCTGTATTTTGAATTAAAAAGGGCTCACTGACAACACACCTCATCTTGGGACCAAGCAAGCTTTGGTCCCAAGCTTTGTCCTTTGCAAGCTGGATCTGCTGGTTCAACAGACTGGCTCATCAGCTTACACTCCTGGCTTCCCCCCTCCCCCAGTTTTTAGGAATGACTCCTAGTAAAGGGCCAAACTTTCCCTAATCTCCTGGCAGTTGTCACTGATGAATCTTAAAGCCTGAAGCCTTTCAGTCACATACATTTTTCTGAAGTCATCCTAAGAAGGCTGCCAAACTCAGACAGCTGCTATATTCTGCAAATGTTTGCAAAGCTGTAGAGTTTCGGAATGCACAAGTCCTTGAGCAAAGTTTCCAGTGACTCCAGTTTGTGCAGGTCTGCACTTGCTTGCCTCTAAAATATGAATCTTTGGCGTTACATCAAAGTGTTGACTAATCGGCATATATGTTTGGGTGGGAGGGCAGTATTTCTAGCAATGCTATAATTTATGAAACATGATGTAATGATTAAACAGGTGGATAGGAAGGGTGAGTTAATTACATAATGTGTGAAAAGGAAGAATATCTGGGCAGCAGGCCAGCTATGCCATTGGTTCTTTGCTGCTTCCCTTGAACAATTAGACAATTTAACACTATATTCCAGGAGTTCTGGTAAAATATATCAAAATAATCAAAGCCTGTTTGTTTCAAAGATCCAAGTATTGAAAGCATACATCAAATATGCAGGTCTTTGGTGTCGTGATGTATTGCCCAGTTGGTGAGTGGAAAAAAAAGGATCCCTGACTAAGCACTACAGATTTTACAGAAATGTACAGCCCTAAGTGCTAATTCATATGAGGAAACTGGCAAGTTGAAAATTTGGGGTGATTCCACACAGCATTCAGTATGACCTAAAGCAGTACTTGCTTCTCCATCTGCTCAGCTTGTGTTTCCCTGCCATAGATGTCTCAGGATTACCAAAAGTGGGTTTACTGGCGATACAGAGAATGGATTGAGTCAAGAACCCTCAGGTCAAGATGTAAATATGAGTCTGTTCTCCAAGAGGGCATTCAAGCCCATACTGGGACAGTGAAAGAATCATCTTCCTGGATCCACAGGTGCAGATAACAGCCTTGACCTTAATGATGAGGCCTTAGTTTTGCAGCAGATGTGGTCTGAATGAAGGTCCTATTTCAGCCATACCCCCAGGGTGGGCCCCTAGCCAATCCAACAATTCCATGTTATTTCAAGAGCTTCTACAGAGAACAAACGAAAGATTGTGCTCAGTGTTAGAATTCACTTCCTTAACTCCAGTTGTTGTTTTTTTAGAATAGACTTTAGCTTGTTCTGAGGCCTTTGGAGTCCAGTTTGCCTTCCATTTTGGAGGAGAAGGGTTTTTTGCTTTGAACCTGCTTTTTCTGTATGGAAGCTGTTTGTGACCATTCTTCTCTAAGCCAGTGTGATGGACGGGCAGGAGTTCGAGTGGTGGGTAGGGTGGAAAACGGAAGATGTACAGCGAGGCTCAGTGCAATCTGTAAGG